GTCCTAAGCCTTTGGGTCGAGGCAGTCCTCTAGAGGATGGAAAGAGTTTGACCTGGTAGAAAAAACAATGTTTTTCCCATGTAATAAATATTTAAAACATTTTATCAGTGTAAATAAATGCTAAATTCTGTGAGCCCAGGGAATGGTATTAACGTGTTTTGCTTACTGAAACATTTGTGGAGTCAGTGTCAGCCTACAGAATGCGGCCAAGAGTTTTTTTTTAAAGGTAAACTGAAGTGCTTTTAAAATAAATACTAAGAGCTCTGTAAGATCTTCAATTATTAACAGAAGAAAAGTGCGGGCTGAGAAACTGCAAACAATCCCTTTTGTGGCACTTTCCCTAACCACTCTGCAGTTATCTCTTTGTCCAGCTTGGAGCGAGCTCCTCAAGGCAGATGCTGTGCCTTCACAGATGTCTGGAGAGCGTCTAGCACATGGGGAGACCTTCCACAAATGAATAAATACATTCAGAATGACAAATATTTGAAAACTTTATAGTTGCGTGAGTTTATGGTTGGCCAACAATAGCATTGCCAGCCTCTGTAGAGAAGTGTAAAAATACAGTTGTTCACTCTGCTGTGGGAAGGCAGTTACTGAGATCCATACTGAAACCCATAGGCCAGCTTTGCAGTCTGATCAGGTCACCAGGCGTTCTGATTTAATTATGATTAGAAGCTGCACAGCTCATTGCTAGGAGCACAAGCCTTACCTCCACGGGGAGAAAATGCCAAAGATATGCAATGGTGAATTACAGAGAGTGTCAGGCGAGTGGGACGGTATTGCCCCTGTATTGTGAGCACCCATGTTGGGTGATATCTGTGTCACAGTGTGCAAAGATTAAGAGTGTGTATGAGTTGGGACAAAGAAGTCTTTCTTTTTTTATAAGTTCAACTGTCTTTTCTTCCTCTGCACAGGAGGGAAAGAGCACATAAAAGCGTGTAGAAGTTCTCGCAGTTGTGGAGAAAAAGCTTTGTGACTGCATGTAAGGGGTTGATTTGCCTTGATTTACCCTGATCAGAAATGCACCTGATCATCTACAGACACTGACCTGCAGCTCTCGGATTTAAGAACGCAGCTTTGATGTGTTTTGAAGCTTGTGGGTTTTCATTTAAAAAGTGTCTCTGTTCCACCTACCCGTGGCTCTCCCTTAGTCCTTTAATCCTTCTTTGTCTGCTCTCCCTCTTCTCCCACTTTGCTACTACACTGACTTCTTTGATTGTCCAGGCCTGGTTCCTCGTGCCATTCCTTGCAATAGCTACTCATGGTGCAAGTGGCTGCCTGAACGGAAAATAAGCAACTTGCCGGCAGCAGCTACATTGCAGCACAAAGCTTGACAGCAATGCGGGGAGCGTGGTGATGCGCCTATATCCCTTGCCCTTCTACAAGCAGCATTCATTACATCTTCTGAGAGGACATTTCTAAAGTTGCTGCGTATTTTAAACTTTTGTAAATTCTCTGAATACTTTAATGATAGTGTAGATAAGCTTGATAGTGGAATCCTGGATTTAGAAACAGACTGCTCTAATGGGGTGCTGGACAGCACACACATCCATTCATGTGAACAGTATTCAGCAGCTCATCTCTTCTTCAAAGTTGGTTTACTATCCTCAATAAGCTTGTCTCTAAGCTAGTTGAAGCTCCTGTAAATCTTCTGGTGGTGCATGTTCCTCTTGACTGTCTAAACAGCTTGTCATCTCATGTTGATGGTGCAAACCGTTGATTTCACCAGCACTGTTTTGTTAACACAAAGGGCATTGGTTTGTGCAGATAATTTCTTCTCTGGACATCTGTAGTACACTGGAGCGCTTTCATGGCATGGGTGATAATGAAGCTACATTTAAAATGAGAGCACCTTTTGTTCATCATTGTGTCTGTCCTCAGTACCCTCTCAAGAGTACTGGCTATATCCTAGGATGAATATTAAATCAATTAATAATAGTAATTAAGGGTAAATTACCTAAGACCTGTTATTAGAACTCTTAACCTTGTAATCCTGGCTACATTTTGGATTAACAAGACTCCTAAAATCACTAAAAATGGAGGTCTTTATTTGCTTTTGTGTAGATTTACTTGAAGCTACAAATATTTCAATCTCCAAAGCTTGTGAAGCTGTTTCAGGTTCATAGCCATCTGTAGTCTTTTAACTTTCTTTTATTGTTGTACCTTGTTTGGGAGAAAGTGGGAGTTTTAGTTTCCTGATGAATGCTACATTCTCAACTGCTGTAAAGTGTTGGAGGGATGTTGATGTGGGCTGCAATTAATTTTCTGTATATATTTAGAATTAGTAGACTGAATGAGCTGAGCATCTAGGGGAAAATGTTGCCTGCCTCATATAATCACAGCAATATTATTTCCCCAGAGGCACTGGTTATCCAAAGTACCTAGAGATAACTGAGTGAGCAGAACATATCACTGTTGTATAGGATGAGTTTTGATGCTGTCAGTATTGTACTTCGTGTAAGGATCTCTTTGTGAAAGACAGAATGTTTAATGCTGAATATCGCTCCCTTTGGATGGTATCATGAACCATTAATACATAACTGAACTGACTGGAGACACCTGAAAAAAATGCTCTGACTATAGAGGGATGCTAGTAGCCAGCTTTGGATTATTAGCAGGTAGTGAATGATCTTACTGGCCTGGCAGCTGGAGCCACCTTTGATGGTTTCTGCTGCATTCCAGTTAAATCCAGCTGGCGGCTGGTCACAAGTGGTGTCCCCCAGGGCTCAGTTTTGGGTCTGGTCTGGTTTAACATCTTTATTAATGATCTGGATGAGGGGATTGAGTGCTCCCTCAGTAAGTTTGCAGATGACACCAAGTTGGGTGGAAGTGTTGATCTGCTTGAGGGTAGGAAGCCCCTGCAGAGAGATCTGGACAGGCTGGATCGATGGGCCGAGGCCAGCCTATTCAGATAACTATCCCAGGCCAGAGTGACTGAAGTGCATCATCAGTATTGCATGAAGTAGCTTACGTCATCTCTAGACCTGTGCCTATTCTGGTCTGCCAAAAGGTGATCGTGCCCCTGTACTCGGCACTGGTGAGGCTGCACCTGGAGTACTGTGTTCAGTCTTGGGCCCCTCACTACAAGAAGGACATTGAGTTGCTGGAGCGTGTTCAGAGAAGGGCAACGAGGCTGGTGAGGGGCCTAGAGAACAAGTCCTGGGAGGAGCGGCTGAGGGAGCTGGGGCTGTTTAGCCTGGAGCAGAGGAGGCTGAGGGGGGACCTTATTGCTGTCTACAACTACTTGAAAGGAGGTTGTAGTGAGGCAGGTGTTGATGTCTTCTCCCAACTAACTAGCAACAGGACGAGAGGCAATGGCCTCAAGTTACATCAGGGGAGGTTTAGATTGGATATTAGGAAAAATTCTTTTTCTGAAAGAGTGGTCAGGCATTGGAACAGGCTGCCCAGGGCGCTTGTAGAGTCACCATCCCTGGAGGTGTTTAAAAGACGTGTAGATGTGGCACTTCTGGATCTGGTTTAGTAGGCATGGTGTTTTTGGGCAGATGGTTGGACTGGATAATCTTAGAGGTCTTTTCCAACCTATGCTTCTATGATCCCATTGTGGCCGGGGAGCAAAGGCAAAGTCTCAGCCTTAGCTGTGAATTGACAAGTGGATTGCCTACGAGTGAAAGTGCTTGTCAGGACATGTGTCATACTTACTGAAAAGTATTTAAATTAGTTAAAAAAGTAATAAAAATTAAATTTTAAGATCTTAGATGATAGATTTTAAAAGTTAATAGTTATCATAAACTCTCTTGGCAGATGTATAACAGACATTTACAACTCATGAATCACATTTTTTGAAAATCACAGCTAATATCAACTTCTCTGAGGAGATGACAGCGTTTGCAGGAGACATTAATGGCTTCTGGCTCTCAGTCACTTGCAAAATCATGAACTCGAAATTATTCTGATGTGGCTATTTGTACACTATAGAGTTCTAGAGGTGTCTCAATACTTCCAACATTAATAACTTGCCAGTGATGGTGTTTGCCGTCACTACCATCAGTGATAATAAATTTGAGGCTTTTGTAAATGCGAATCCTTACTAAAGGCTTCTGAGGCTGGCTTTGTTATCGTGGTTACAAATGAGCAGAAGGAGACACAGAGAGGCCCATGAATCTGCAGCTTGAGATGACTGCATCTGAGGGTACAGCCACTTAGCACCTTGACAAACTCAGCTACAAGTCATCTTCCTCAGGCCATTCTGGAAATGTTTGGGTCGCTTATGATTAGGATTTATACCAGTCACATGCCTTAACAGCAACCATGTAATATTATTTTGTTCATACCCTTTTCTAGGGGCCTGGACAACCTCTGTTATAGAGTCATCCCTAAATCTTAGGACAAAACCGGCACTGCTGGTTCTGAGTCTCCCTCTGTTCAGGCTGAATTAAGATGAGGTGGATCTGGAGTGCTGGAAGATCCTAAGAGGGCTGGCAGCTCTCAGTCGGTATCGGTTTTGGTGGCCCTTCAGCAGCTCAGGCTCTGCCTGAGACTGGCTTGATCTCTGGAAAAACCCAGGATCAGAGTAGGGACATGACCTTGGTTTGCCATCTCTCCTCATGCTCTGGGGTGCAGCCTTGTGGTACCCCCAGCTTGCGTGCCTCGCTGTTCTTGTCCTGCTTCACTTCTTGTTGTTCTTTGTTTTTCCCGTGTTTTAACTCTCTTCGGTACAGTCTGGGCAACACCTCAGGTCTGGTTTGCAAGAACAGGCAAAATAGCTAACGTATTCCCTCTCCAGGGTGGTGGTATTTCAGTGACAGGTAAGGTAACACCTGCTTTACTTTAGTCTATGACCCAGGCTGTGATGGTAAATTTGTGAAATGTTGGGGATCTTCTGGAGAGAGGTGATCTGTAAATGTACGTCTTTACATTATCAAGATGATTACTTCAGGTGAAGGGAGAATGAAATAAAAATGACATATTGTTGTACAATTTATAGTCTCTCTATATTTTGTTTTCTTGCTGGTAAATGCTTCCTTCTGTTCTCTCTGCAGGTCTCCAGGTGGTTTTAAATTCAATTATCAAGGCCATGGTCCCTTTGTTGCATATTGCCCTGCTGGTGCTGTTTGTCATTATTATCTATGCCATCATTGGACTGGAGTTATTCATGGGGAAGATGCATAAGACCTGCTATCATGTGCAAGGGGGACTGATAGGTAAGGGGAACACTGTATCATACACGCAAAGATTTTCTGGAGGAGGCTTTCCCTGCATCGAAGGGAGCATTTGTGCTGGCACAGGAGACTGGTGGCGGTTGCTCCCTGCTGTGTACCCGTTTGGGGTTTCACAGTGGTGGTTCCTCTGTTCTGCTTCTTGGCTATGAATCACTTTTGATGTAGAGAGGCTCTTTCTAATGGTGAGAATTTAGCTTGCTCCTCTTGGGCACTCAGCTGTTGGCCTGTCTGCAAAGACTACATGCAAAACTGTAGATTCCTCCTGAACACAGTAGTGGACTTTTTAACGTGGGCCTTTGGCACTACAAGCCTCCCTGGGTTCTTCAACAAATCTCCCAGAGGCTCGAGCAACGCTAAAGTAGTGATGATTTCACTACTGGCAGACTGAGCTACAAATGAGATGGCATCATGGAAATTAACAACTCTTATATTCTATTATTAATCTTGTACACAAATATATCTTCATTTCAAACCAGTATCTTAGTGAAGGAATATCTAATTGAGGCTCACTACCCTTTGTTTTAATCATAGGCTATGACCATGGTTAGAAGTGCAGCTAGTAAGAAAGGAAAATTATGCTAATGGGAAGAAACTTTTTGCACCAAATCCATCAGGAAAGAACTTTCAAATTATTTACAGAAAGAAATATTCAAATTTTAAAATAATTCAATTGTGTTGTCACTCATCTAACTATCTGCTCTTTTTCATTTGATTTATTGAACTTGAACAACAGTGATTTCCCATGTGATGGTGGGTACCAAAGTCTAGGACCCAGTTCAGCTTGTAACCAATAAAATATCATAATAGTAAAACTCTTTCAGAAGTTCTATATTTTCTACTTTTATAACATTGACAGATTTCATTTTCTGTAAATGATACTAGAACTTTCATGACTTGTCAGTCTGATTCACATCTTTAAAGTATCTATATCTTTCTCCATACTGTCTGGAATTATTTATATTACAGCATCTAATTCTAATATTGCTGTTTCTGGTATGCTTTAATGACCAGAATGTGATCATAACTTTTGGAAAATTAAATTTTTTGCCATATAAAATGAGAAACAAACATCACTACCTGTTCTCCCACACATACATACCTGCATCTGTTATAAACGCAGCACTAAGCTCTGAAATCCATATAGTTACAAAAATCCTGTTGTAGGAGTTTTTGTTTTTCTAAAAATGTTTTCTGTAGCATTTTTCGCATAACAAAGCATTTAGGCAGGCTTGTTGTATGGGTCTCAGATCTCTGGAAAAACCTGTAGAGAAGAAGAGGTTCATAATCCAGCAGCAGTCTTACAGAGCTTCAGAGTGTCACTGGGCTGTTGGTGAAATTCCACACAGCTGCGGAGCTCCAAAGACTCTCTGCTGTAATTCAGCAGGGGCCCAGCACCGTCTCAACCTATCTCCAGAATACTGAAGTCTGTCTGCTGCAGGGGTTCAGCCTCCTTCAGCAGAGTCCCAGTCAGTGCTGCAGCTCCCTTCCAAAATTAACCCAGAGGCCAGGTGACTGCGGTATGAAAACACTGGTCGTAACGTGCAGCATAAAGAAATGTAATAGACTTGATCCAATGTTCCCTCTCGTGTTGAAAGGCATGGTTTCTTCCTCATTGGAGGGTATGCTTTAAAAAAATGCCCATCTCCGTTTTGACTGTAAGATTTGACAGCTTGGCCATTATTTTTACAAAAAGAAGGTGAAGCACAATAAAACATCCCTCTGCCCGTTAAAATTAATACAGTTGCTTGTGCATTCCTAGAGAAATCTGTCACATTCACTGCAAAATGTATTTGTTAAAGTCAGCTATCATTCACTAGCTTATCAGTGTGTTAAATAGCAATCAGTTCTCTTCACCTCCTTTTTCTCCCTCCTCTCCTTTAAGATACACCTGCAGAAGATGACCCGTCTCCCTGTGCCCCTCAGTCTGCCCATGGGCGGCAGTGTCAGAACGGCACGGAGTGCAAGGCAGGCTGGGAGGGACCTAAGCACGGCATTACGAACTTTGACAATTTTGCTTTTGCCATGCTGACAGTGTTTCAGTGCATCACGATGGAGGGCTGGACGGATGTGCTGTACTGGGTACGTATCCGAAAATGATAAGCTGAAAGGCCTGCTCATGTGCGACAGCTGTGTTGAAACTTCAGAGCTTTAGCTTTCTTGCTTGTTCTATGTAGTGCAGGCATGGTTGTTAGCATGAAGTTTTAATTAACTTGGAACATTAGTGGGTGAAATGGGAGGGTTTATCTGGGGCAGTTAAATCAATGTAAGTGTTGGCTTTCCATTGATATTTTAATGTTGGAAGGTGGCACGTGGCTTATTGGTTTGAAGATTTGTGATACACCTTTGTTGAGCAGAATGTCATGTAAAGACCCTCTCTGCAGGAGTGAAATATCTCATACATCTCCAGATTACTGATGTAGCAGCATTTGTGACCGAGGACTGTGTGCTCTACCCATGGCATTGATGTTAGAAAGGCACTGCGCTGATCAGCTTGTAGGTTTTATCAGAAAGGCCTCACAAATCCCTTTTCATGCCAGCACTACCCCGATTATGACTTTTATAATAGTATTAGAATGAATTCTCCTGACTCTGATATTGGTATCAATCATGGTTACATATTTAGCCAAAACATGATACCTTTAATCCAAATGCGATCTCATCTTGTCCTTTACCCTAATTCTGGAAGTTTCAGCTGCTTTAGTTCCTACCTTGTAATTCCTAATGTGTTGGGAAATTCAGTGGCAATACAGTTTTACTGTTGGATTTAAAATCGGATTTAGCCTTCACCTGTAAACATGTTTCTGGCTTCAGCTCTTGCCATCAACTGTTGCAGCAATATGTTATGGTCCAGGAATTTCATTTACACACAGCTCAGTTCTGTCTGTATAAGGCTAACCCAGAGTCTGACTAACTTTGAAGACTGGCATATTATGACGTTTGGTTCTCCAAGATGGTAGGATGTGCTACAATGCATGACGGAATTTAACTCAAGAAGACCCAAAGCACACAAAAGGATAATATGGATAAAGGCAGCTTGTGCTGTTAATCAACATCAGCTTCTCTCTTAAACATGAGCCTGCAGCTGCCTTCTACCCACCAGTGAGTTCAAGCTTACAAGATTTCACTTTGAAGATTTAGCTTACCTGCAACAGATAGGTGCTGCATGGAACAGCTAGCAGTTGTCTCATTATCCTCGTAAATTTAGATTAGAATAGTGGCTCTAGCTCCCTTCTAATGCCTGAGATACAGAGCAGAGATCAAACCACAAGGGGAGTCTGGGTCTCGGAGCACAAAAATTGCCTTTACTTGAAAAGAGGGTATAGATTAATAAAATAATGAAGAAGAACAGAAGTTTAGTCAGAAAAGGAACTGGGCAAAACTACTCCACGGCTCAACTATGACAATATATAATATACCTGTCTTTTTATCACATTTAGCTCACATTCCTCCAGTCCTTATGTGATTGAGAGGATTTATAGGTGTAGTTGAGAGGAAGTAAGGGAGAGTAAAAGATATCAGAAATGAAACATGAAAACAGTTTTGGCAGTGTATACCAGTTAGTATTGTGAAACCTATCCACAAGTTTATCATCATTTTCTCCACAGACATGTGTTGTGAAAGACACTGCCAATCCCCATACTTTTGGGTCCATGCGTCATTTACGTGACTGGATGTGAATCATTCAGAAGTCAGGTATCAGCTATCTAATAACAGAAGCCAAAAGCATATACTCACTGCTAAATGATTTTTTACCATGACTGCTGCAGATGGTCTGATTTTTTTATGGTGTCCCTGCAGCAACCTGGATTTTAGCTGTTAGCCAGCTTTTTTCACTGATTACTTGAGCTGTTCTTTTTTTCTTTAAAGACAGTATGCTGAACCAAGACCTGAAATTAGTACAGATTGATGGTCATTATTTTTAGGGGCATCCGTATAGTTAGCCTTTTAGATTATGACTTTGATAGAATTCTTTGGAATCAAGAGAGATGTATGTTATCATCAGTTCACAGTTATTCCTAGACAAGACTACAAAAGATAGGAGTTAGCACTGCAGATAAAATTTCAGTAATTGAGGAGAAGGAAATTTAATTTGTGGAGGATAAACCCTATCACCTATGTTTAAAGGCCATGAAATACAAAGTTTGACTAAATACCTGAACACCTGAGCTGACAGACATACTCGGTTAAGCTGCTGTAAACAGTCCTAAGAGTACTGTACATGACTTTTTGCCTCTCTGTGTCATATTGACAAAGCGGGTGGCAGTCAGGTCTGATCAGTGTTTGCCACGCGGCAAAGAAAGTATCTGAGATGCGATGTGTATTTCCTTCTGCAGAGAGGTCTGTGTTACTCTGGGAGCAGATGTTGACTGGGCAATTACTACAGGGCACACCTATGAGAAGCATTATGGCTTTAATACTTATACATAGGAACAGTCTCTAAACATTCCCACTGTAATTTCGTATGTACGTGTTTCAAACCATATCTATTGTGGTTTCTACAGTAAGCTTTACAGTCTATGAAAAGGGCATTCGAGTTTAAGCTAGCCAGATCGAAAGGAAGAGTACTTCTGGATAGTAAAGAACAGAAAATATGCGACACTTCGATTTCTGAGAGTGAGGGAAGAATTCTAGTACGTGGGGTAGGATATTATAAACTCAGTGTGTGCCACTGTTTCTTTAGTGTAGTCTGACTCCTGCACAACTCTACTCTCTGGCACATTCAGCCAAGGAAGAGTAGACTTGTTGTAGACAACTTGGGTGCTGCATCTCCACAAGAGTGCAGACATAGGAGGCTATTCTCTTCTCAAGTAGATAACACTTTGAAAGATCTCCTGGATCTACAGTGAGGTCATGGAAATTAAAATCTGCTTTATTGGGAAATAAATCTGTTAATTAAATTAGAAATCCAGACTTAAAGATCCACTCTCTCCAACTACATCCTGAGACAGAGAGTTGGTTGTCTATTTTACACCGAAAAAAAAGTAGAGATTAAAGAATGGTATACGAAAATGCTGTCTGCAAATCAGACAATTTTGCAGCTGAATATTTTAGGTGATGATTTTTAGAGGTCATTCCTTAAACTTAATGATGTAAGCTAATGGGTTAATAGTAAAAGTGCTGAGCATTCAAAGTTCAAGCAGACTGTTAGGTTTTTAGCTCTTCTGCAATTCAAGGTACATACCAAGGTTTGAATCTGGGGTCCTGCTGGCGTCAATGGCAAAATTCCAATTAATTTCAGAAGGTCGAGATCTCACCTTCTTTTTTGTAAAATCTTGATCATACTGCTGAGTTTTTCCACGTGCAGTCATATGTATAACATGAGGACTTACAGATGCCTAATCAGAGCCTTGGTGTCTGTTGTGATAATCTTCCAAGGACATACATGTGGATGTAGGGAGGTTTATTTGCTCCCTCTTTAAATCTGAAAATAAGACCCTGACCTAAAACTCAGCAGAACAACAGATAAAGCTCTGGGCTGAATTACTTGGCTGGAAACATTTAGACAACAGAGCAACTGCCTTGGTTTGAACTTTTTTATAAGTGCTTTTCAATTATATCCTCCTATTTTTGGAAAAACAGCTTTTGAAAGGTACCTACATCTCTGTGTTCCTCTCAGTGGGAATGGAGGGAGCTTAGCACATTTCAGCATGTTGCCCTGAAAAATATACTAGTAATTCCATTAAACCCGTGCCTGTCTTGTGCCACACTTTGCAAGGTTAAACCTGCATGTTTAGAAATTAGAAAGCTGTATGACCTCCCACAAGCCCTGGACTCCTAATCCACTTAATGGCTCTTCAATTTTCACCTTCAATTTCCTGCTTCCTTCTTCATGCTTCCCCTCATGCCTCCTCCAGCTTGTCACCTCTGTAATGAAGCGTGTCTCCTCTCTCATGGAGTACTATTTCCCAGCCTGTGATCCACATCCTCACAAAAAGATAACCAGAGACAGGAAAGCAATAAACTTTTATTCCCTAGAAGGACTTGACATCAGTGAGATCAATACGCTTTCCAATCTCCTCTCTCACTCGGCAGAGAAGACTTGTGAGTAAATTGGTTTCTTTTGAAATTTGAAAGAAAAGTGCTAGGGAAAACAGTTTGACACTGCTATAGTGGCAGGTAAGATAATTCTTTACAACAAGCCAAATTTTTAATGTAAAATAACTATATTGGAGAGGGGGAAAATCCATGCAAAACAACCCTGTTGACTCCTCACTGAAGAACTGATTTTATTGAAGGGAGCGTTCAGTATTTATAGGAGCACATCTCCAATACTGCCTCAGTCTTACCAGTTTTACTTTGTCCCAGTATAAATGTCAGGTGGTTTTGTCTCATATGCAGTCAGTTCATAGAATTTTTTGAGTAGACAGGCACCTCTTAAGATATGTCACATCATCATTTTTCCCAAGCATTGTACAAAGATTGAGCTTATTATTCTCAAAACTCTCCTTAATGTATGATCAGCCAGTAATAGCAGCTCGCTCCCTTGAGCAGGCACCAAGGGCCATTTCTGTAGACCCCTCAGTCTTGGAAACTTCCAGCAGCAGATGCAAACCCAAATGTTACAGATTGAGTCATCTGGTATTTTGTAATCAGTCTCTGCTGCAGCCCGTTATTTCTTACTGCCTTTTTGACCAAGGAGGAAAATTAATCCCCGTGGAGTTTATAACATCCTGTTTAAGTATTTGTAGGCATTTGTTGTCTTCCCTTAATCTTTTTCTAATTTGAGCAGATTCCGTTCTTTCAACCTTCCCTAATGGGGCTCCCTTTTAATTATTTTCAACCAGTATGTTACTGTGTCTTTGAGGGAAGCTTTCCTTCTGAAGTAAATACAATTTGGACAGTGCCCTGTCTCTAGAAAGGCTTTTATCTTTCTGTGGAATGTGCTTTCTGCAGCTGGAGCCCTGTGGCATTGCATGCAAAACTGCCCACTGTAGCCTCAGTTTTATGTACCTCGTCTCTCCACTCCCCTGCATCTAAGCAGTCATATATATAAACGAAAACAGATAACAAGTGCAAAACGCAACTGGAGGTGGTTGCATTGGGCTATTCACACTGCTGGGTAGAGGAGAACATGGTCC